CAGTGGAAAAATAAATGTCCAGAAAATGATGAGAGAGATGATAAAATTCTGAAACTAGGAGACCACCTGCTAAAGGGTATTGCCCCTGGGAAGAATCAGATGCTGGCCTCAATGGGTTGGCAGGAACTAAAGGTTACAAGGACTAGGCCTGACCAGGCTCTATGCCCTTAGGCCTCCAAGAGCCCATGGTCACAATGAATGTAGGGGGCCAATTGATGGATTTTTTGGTAGACAGTGAAGCCAAGCACTCAGTGGTGATGCAACCTATTGGGTCATTATCCAAGAAAAAATGTGATTATTGTAGGAATCACTGGGGTTTGAAAAAGGAGACCATTCTGCCAACCTAGAAGATGAGTTATAGGCAAACAAAAAGTCCAACGTGAGTTCCCGTATCTGCCAAACTACCCAGTTTTAGGGAGAAATTTACTCTGAAAGCTAGAGGGTCGAATTACCTTTGGGCCATAAGGAGATATGACTTTAAGCCTGCCTCAAGCAAAAGCCACGATATTAACTCATACTGTTCCACAAGCAGAAAAATGAAAATTATATTCAGATAAGTCACAAAAGCCAGGAATTGATGAGCTATATGGACACGTGAGATTTCCGGAGTGTAAGCTGAGGACAACCCACTGGGGCTACCTGTAAACCAAACACTGGTGATAATGGATCTAAAGCTGGGAGCAACTCCAGTTTGAGTTCTCCAATACTCCCTCCCCTGGGAAACCATACAAGGCATTTAAGGATATTTAAAGTGGCTCCTAGAATAAAGAATCCTGGCTAGATGCCAGTCATCCTGGCATACCCCACTATTACCAGTATGTAAGCCAGAGATGAATGAATATAGACCAGTACAGGATCTACACGCTGTAAATCAAGCCATTGAGACAATTCACCCAACAGCGCCATATCTGTGCACACTAATAGGACTCATTCCAGCAAGTACTGCCTGGTTTACCTGCTTAGATTTAAAGGATGCCTTTTTTCTGTTTGCACCTTGTACCAGTCATCCAGCCTATCTTACATTTCAATGGGAGGATCCTGTCACAGGCATAAAAAACAATTAACCTGGACTACGCTTCCTCAAAGATTCAAACACTCTCTTACAATCTTTGGAGAGACACGAGTTACCATTTTGTAATGGCCCAAGGAGAACACCAACTAAACATAGAACAAAAACAGGCTGTCTGTGCCCTTCTGACTCCTACCACCCAATGCCAAATAAGAGTTTCTGGTAACAACAAGATTCTGCCACATCTGGATCTCAAACTTGTTACTTATGGCTAAGTCCCTATATGAAGCCACAAAGAGAGAAAAAAAAGGGACCCCTCCTCTAAGAAAGCTGATCAATGGAGAACATTTAAACGGATCAAAGAAGCTTTGACTTAGGCCCCAACCTTAAGACTGACAAATATAACCAAGCCTTTCTTCCTATATGTCCATGAACAGAAAGGAATGGCCATAAGAGTCTTAACCCAGGTCATGGGATCCAAACATCATCCAATGACCTATTTGTCAAAATACTTAGACTCTGTGGCCCTAGGATGGCCTCTGTGCTTCAGGGCACTAGCTCCCACTGCCCTACTGATGAAAGAAGCTGACAAGCTGACCTTGAGACAACAAATGACCATTTGAGTACCACACTTAGTCATAACCTTGATGTACCAGAAAAGACACCATTGGTATCAAGGGTTCCTATGTAAAACTCCCCACATAATTCTAGAGACAACAAACACTCTTAATCCAGCTGCCTTGCTCCTAATTGAACCAAGACCTCCCCTGCATGACTGTGTGGAGATTGTAGATAAAGTATTCTCAAGCCAGGGAAATCTTACAGATCACCCTCTCAGAGACCCAGATGTTAAATATTTTATTGAAATACTGACAGAAGTAGTTTTGTGCTGGAAGGAGTACAACAAGCAGGATATACAATGGTGACATTAAACCCTGTGCTAGAGGCCCGGCTTTGGCCTACCGGAACCTCAGCTCAGAAGACAGAGTTAACAGCCTTGACAAAGCCTCTTTTACTAGCAAAGAACAAAAAAAGCTAACATCTATACTGACTCCAAATATGCCTTTACAATACTGCATTTATATGGAGACATATATTAACGAAAAGACTCGACTGCTGGAGAAAAGAAAATAAAGTACAAAGAGGAAAGTTTTATAACTACTAGATGTTGTGTGGGCTCCAAGAAAGTGGCTGTTACACACTACAGGTAGCACCAACAGACTGGAACATTAAAAGCTAGAGGGAACCAAAAACACAGAGAAAACGGGCCACTATGACAACCCCACAACCCAGAAGAGGGGCCCTGGCCATGCCTCTCATTCTGGAACCTCCTCTCCTGGAGACCCCAAACTACTCTTCAAATAAAAAGGCCTGGTTTGCCCAAGAAGCTGAAGATTATATAAAGGGGAGAAATAATGGAAGTTTGCTGATGGGAGGCTAGCCATCCATGAAGCATTGGGCCCCAGGTTCATAAAACAATCCCATTAGGAGGTCTCACATAGGAAAAACAAGATTGGAAACATTACTAGGCCACCATTTCTATATGCCACAGCTCACTGCCATTATTCAGGCTGTTTATCAACAATGCTTAACCTGTGCCCAAAACAATGCAAGGCAAAGGCCCACCCAGCCCTTGCATATCCAGGAAACAGGAGCTGCCCCATGTGAAAACTCGCTTATGGACTTTACTGAATTGCCTTGAGCAAGTGGCTATCCATATATGTTGGTGCTTGTCTGCACCTTCTCAGGATGAGTTGAGACCTTCCTCACCCAAACAAAAAAGACACGAGAGGTGACCAAAGTGCTGTTAAGAGACATCATCCCAATATTTGTACCAGCTCTGACCTTAGGATCAGACAACAGACCAGCATTCATAGTTGAGATAGTCCAGAAGCTCACACAGATGTTAAAGATAAAAATAGAAGCTTCACACAGCTTACCAGCCAAGAGCTCAGGAAAGATGGAATGCATAAACCAGACAATCAAACAACTGCTAAAAAAAAAAATATTGTCTGGGCTGGGGATTTAGCTCAGTGGTTCCGTCACCTGCCTTGCAAGCACAAGGGCCCAAGTTCAATCCCCAATACCAAAAAAAAAAAAAAAAATATATATATATATATAAAAATATATATATATATATATATATATATATATATATATATATATAAATATATATATAAATATAAATGGTCAAAAAACTCACTTGAGATGGGATCAAGTCATGCCCATGGTCCTCCTCCAAGTGTGGTACACCTCCACCAAACAAACTGGGTATTCCCCTTAAGAGATTTTATTTGGCCGGCTGCCCCCAATCATAGGTCAAATTAAGGGCAGTCTTTGTAAACTAGGAAAATTGTCCCTGAGGAAGCAAATACAGGCTTTAAAAATGACCATGCAAGATATCCATGGCTGAGTACAAGAGAGAATGCCCATAAATCTGGCAGACCCAATATACCCCTTCAAACCTGGGTACTGTTTGGGTCAAAAAAAAAAAAATCTAACCACCTTGGGACCCATATGGGATGGGCCCCATGTTGTAATTTTGTCTACCCCCACTGCTGGTAAGAGTGCAGGAATTGTGTCTTAGATCTTACCACAGTTGGCCCACAGCTCAAGACAAGTAGACCAGCCAGCAGGATTCAGACCACCCAAACCAGCTGATCCTGAGACAAGATCTGGCTGCCACTGGAAATGGCAGCTCTGCTCTGGTCATTCCAAAAGCTGACCAGTCCACACATGGCTGAAGCTTGAAGATCAACACAGAGTCACAGCAACATAAGTCCCTTACCCTCTTTGTTTTTTTTTTGTTGTTGTTGTTTTGGGTTTTTTGGTATGGGGGGGGGGTAGCACTGACCTAAATCCCCGGACCTCTTATCCTCTGTTATAGTACTCCCTTGCTTCTTACTCCTACTTGTCAAAAGCATTCAGTTGGTCACAGTCTCTGGGATACACACACTGCCACTTGAATGATAGCCTTAACCAAGTATCAACCTCTGCTTAGTAGCTTGTACTGAGCACCCCTTGGTGACAAAATAATTGATAATAACAAAGATGATAAAGATGATGGTCTCTATTAAAACCTGTTATAGAGGGCCAGGGATTTAGCTCAGTGGTCTCACCGCCTGCTGTTCAAGTGCAGTGACCCAAGTTCGATCCCCGGTACCAAAAACAAAAAACAAAAAACAAAAAAAACCTGTTACAGAAAGCATCAAAATGGAGAATGAAGCAGGACTTAAAGAAAAACAAGTTTTTCCCAGCCTTGAGCAGTCCCTCCCTCCACCCCATCACAGCCTCCCTTCCTTCCCTTGTAGCTATAAGTCCTTGTTCTGGTACAAATAAAAACCTGCAACCCCCTGTGAACAAAGTTTATGTCATCTTGTTCTCACAAGATTCACAAGGCTCTTCTTTCAAGGCTAAATTACAAAACTACAAAACTGCCCTTATCCTGTTTCATGTAAACTTGTTTGCTACATCACTAAAGACCAACCCCTTTGACCAAATGTATAAAACTAGAACCTTTCCTTTGTTCTCTGCTCTTCTGTTGAGCTAGTGGTCATCTAAAACCTGTTATAAAGCCTCCCTTTCCCAGTGGCCTCTCCTGTCTCTTTTATCCCACAACAGTGGGGTGGTAGGCAGGGAGGACCCCAGGCAGCATTTGTGCAGCATTTTACATAAAAAGGCATCGAAGCGGGTTATCCAGAGAGGATTTTATTCCTAGACCCCATGGAGATGTCTCAAGCCCCTAGCCTCCCAACTTGGTGCAGCAGACAGAACACAACCTTTAGTCTAGGAAAAGTCAGTTTTCATCAACAGTGCACATCCCCCTCAAAGTGGTTAATTGGGACTGTATTTCCATTCAGAGATGCGGAAATAAAAGGCCTCACTGTGACCATGAGCACATTGTCCTCTAATTAACAAAGATGCTCTCGGCTTCCCTGGCCACTCTTTCGGCTGCAGCAGTGAAGGAGCCTCTGCCCTCGCAGGTCCTTACCTTTTCTGGTGCCCTCAGGAGTCTGGGAAAGGCTCTCCGGCTGGGCAGCAATCAGGGGTGGGGAAGCAGATTTCCTCTCCGGCGCCTCTTCCTCCTGCTCCCTCTTCTGTCCCTTCCTTTCATCTGGGGGTAGTGGTGAGGGTGGCCGGGGATCCCTGCTGTCCTGGCTCTCCTTGGGTGGCTGGCTGGGCTCTGAGTCGGACTTCCCAGCCCTCCGGGCCAGCAGCTCTACCAAATAGGGCCTGCTGAGCTTGGTGAGAGGGGATGACGGTGGAGTGTGGCCAGCGGGTTTGGGCGCCAGGGCTGGCTTCTGTACCAGGGCTGTTCTGCTTGCTGCCTTGTCCTGCTCTGCAGCCGGGGCCTGGCTGCTGGCCGGTGGGGGGCCGGGCTGGGCTCCTGGAGGGTGGGTGCCTGCAGGGCTTGCAGCAGAGTCCCTGCGGAGGACCGGGGCCTGCTTCCTGTCATGGGGGGACAACAGGCCTGGCTTGGGGGCCGGGCCCTCTGCTTCTCTCTCCCCTGGTGCAACCACACTGTCTCCCATGCTGCTGTGCCTCTTCTTCTTCTTCTGTTCGGCCTGCTGGTCGCAGTGGAAACGCAGGGAGTAGTTGGTCCTTCTCAGTTTTATTCCAAAAGGGGAAGCTTTTTCCTCCCCGACCGGGGTTACCACGTCTGGCTTGGCCACGCCACTTGCGCTCTCGCCGTCCGAAGAGGTTTCGGGCTCGGTGTGGGCCGCTGCTTTTGGCGCAGGGGGAGGAAGGCTTGGGACGAGGAAGGACGGAAGGTCTTTGGCAAATTTGCAGCCCTCCGTGGCGTCTGCGGGCTCCGGGCGCACCTCGGTTTTCTCGGGGGTCCTGGGAGGATCGTGGAGCAAAGAGGGGGGAGGCCGGGGCACTGTCTCCTCAACAGGCCCTGGCGCGGGTCTCTTGCGGGTGCCGTCGGCCTCTGGGCTCGGTCTGGGGATCTCGGTGCCGGCGTCGGAGAATTTCTGCCAGGCAGGCATGATGGAGAACTTGGCGTTGGCGGGCGGCGTCCTGCGCAGGTGCCCACGGGAGTCGCTGCGCGCCCTAGGTGCCGGCTCGTCTCCGGGCCTCGAGTGCTCTCTGTCGCCGCCGCGAGGATCACTTTCTGTGTTCTTCAGGATCCGGGACCGGATCGACGCCCACTCGGCCAGGGCGGCTGCACTGCCAGGCGGCTCCTGCGGGGGCCTAGCCTTGGCGCCTCCCATCCGGGGCTCCGCGGCCGCGGGGACGTCCACTTGCCTCTTCTCTTCCGACAGGCCCAGGAGCGACTTGCAAGCCGTGTCCTTGATCTGGTGCAGGTTGACGGCCGGGCCGCATAGCTGCGCCCCAGTGACCAGGATGGCCGTGTGCGGGACGCTCAGAGCCCGGGGTGCCTTGGGCTCCTGCGCAGCGGGCGTGACAGGGCTCAGGTTGACCTTGGGGAAGAGAATGTGGCGCCCTCCGGAGGACACCTGGAACGTGTAGGGCCTGGGCATGGTCTGCCTCTCTTCCACCTCCTGCCACCGCAGTTCCTCCACCTTTATGTCTTTCCCGGGGGCAGCTTCTTGGTTCTTCAGCTTTTCTTCTACCGGCACCTCCTGCTGTTTAGAAAGGTCCCGGTGGACCGCTTCTCTCTTGTCCTCCCAAACACGTCGTTCCTCCCCTTGACAACCTGCCCTTGTGCCTTGCGGCTCTCCAGCTGGCCCATCCGCTTGGCTCTGCAACTCCTCTGAGCTCTCTCCTTGCCTTTTGGGTCCCACGTTTTTTTGCTCTTCTGGCTTCTCCGAGACATTCTGAGATGGGCTCTGCAGGCCTCTGCTGTCCTCTACCTGCGGCTGCCCCTCTTCCCACATCTGCGGCATTGCCCAGGGCTCCTTTTCCTCCTCCGCCCCCTGCTGCCCGGGCGCCTCTGTCTCCTCCTTGCGCTGCTCCAGCTCCTGTCTTCGCTGGGCCTTCTCTTCTTGCTGCTGCTGCCGCCCTCTGAGCTCCTCCAGCTGCTCCTCTTCCTCCTGCTCGCGCCTTCTCTGTGCCTCCAGCTCCTCCCGCTGCCTCAGCTCCTCCAGCCTTTTGGCCTCCTCCTCCTCCAGCCGCTGTGCCTCCTGTCTTTTGAGTTCCTCCAACTCCCTTTCTTCTTCCTGCTGCTGCCTCTGGGCCTCGCGCTTGGCCTCCTCCTGCAGACGCCTCCGCTCCTCAGCCTCCCTGCGCTCCTGCTCCTCCTCCCTCAGCTCCTGCTTGCTGAAGCCCTGCTCTTCCAGGCCCTGGCGCTGCCCTTCTTCCTGCGGTCCTTCTTCGGCCTCCAGCAGCAGTCGCTCCTCCTCCCCTTCCTCTTCCTCGCCCTCCTCTTCCAAGAGCTCCTGCCCTCTGTTTTCTTCCCAGAGCCTCCTCTCCAGGGTCTGCAGCCTCTGCTCCTCCAGACGTCTCTTCTCAGCAGCTTCGGCCTTCTGCCGTTTGCATTTGGCCTCTAGTTCTCGCCAGTAGTCTTCTTGGCGTCTTTTCTCTTCCTCGGCACCCAGCGGCTCTGGTTCTTCATCCCAAATGTGCCTGTCTTCTCCAGGCTGCCTGTTCTGGTCCAGGCAGGGCTGACTCTCCAGGCCTGGCTCATTCTGTCCATCCTAACATGAAGAAGGAAACAGAATCAGCCTTAGGCTTTTCCCACAGGCAGCCCTTAGGCGTCCCATTCTCCATACAGGTGATGCTGTTTATCACAAAAGAAGGGACAGGTGTTGCCCAAGAACAGCTACAGCAGGCTCCCCTTACCTGAAGTTTGGCTTCTCACTTCACCTTACCTGCCCTTAACCAAATATTAAATGGAAACTCCAAAAATAATGCATGCATTTTAAATGTTTTAGTACATATTGACCATATTGCTATGTCTTTGACCATATTGCTATGTCTTTTACTATGCCTAATCTATGAATGAAACCTTTAAAGTATGTATGTATAGGAAAAAATATAGTCTATAGCAGGTTCATGTATGAGATATCAGGCACCCACTAAGAATCTTAGAACATATTCCTATAGACAAGGGAATAGTGCATCACTAAGAAGCCTACCCTAGTCAGACCTGAAGGCCTTTCAGCTAAGCCACAGCAGAGAAGGGCTGCTGCAAAGCAAGCACCAAGTATGTGCAGCCCCTCCACAGCCCACCAGCCTCATGTCAGGCAGGAAGGACAACAGAAGCTAAACAGACCTGCTGATTGGGTCCACCCACGTTCCCAATGCGGAGAGACCTCGATCCCTCTACGGCTCCACCAACTCACTGGGTGGAATTAGTGTCCAGCAAGCAAGGGCACCTGCCTGGCCAGCCAGGACAAGGACAGGCTCTACGCACCCAGGCTAGTCGCCTGTGCTTCTTTGATACCCTCTGGTTTTTTGGCTTAACCGACAACTTGTGCTTGGCGGCACTATTGTCCAGGCGAGCGATGGCCAGGGGAATGGCATCGAGGTTGACACTTTCGATGGTGCCAGCAGAAGACAAGTGCCTTTTTGGCCGAGATGGTTTAACTGGAGCAACCTGTAATGCAGATTAAGATATAAAGTCAGTCTGGACAGGAAAATCTGCATGGAATCCCAGAACGGTAGCACTCAAGTGGAGTCTACGTCCACAGACAGAAGGGCTCATGGGTACAGGAAAATGAGGAACCGCCTGCAGTTCCAGATGCAGATGCAATCACTAAGAAATCACAGCCTCAGACTGACTGACACATTTAGAAAGGTCAGAGTGACAGCAGCACAGACTAAACCAGAGGCCAGGCTGATCAGATGGCAGGAAGCCACATCTGTAACTGCGAAGAACTTAGACAAGCAATGATTCAGGGCTCCTGGCTGCAATATGCCAGCGTGCAGGGGGCACTCATAACCCTGTCTGCCTGCATCCGCGGCTCCACACACACAAGGCCAGAGCTCATTGCGGGCTCACGTGTTTTGATTGTGTTTGTGCAGCAAGTGTAGAGTCTATGAGGTTTAGCCAAAGGGTTTGCTTTTTGTAATTACCTTCCCTATTTATGCACAGAAGATAAAAGACCACACTAACCCCAAGAGGGAAATGGAAGCTCAGTACATAGTAATTTATGACAAACTCAGAAAAAATACTTCTAGCCTTTGGCCTTCTAGTTTTCATTTATTTATGGTTATCTTTACAATAGGTATGAAATTCTGAGCTTTTGAGACAAAGTAAAGCTATATTTCCATCCCCTAAGAGGTGCATGAGGAAAGGAAGTCAGGGCCAGCGGGTCAGACATAATAAGCTGAGATGCAAGCGCCCTGCTGTGTTTCTAGTTAACCCAGCGAGGCCTGTCACTGGCACTGTCTGAGCCATCCCTGTTGTGGGGAGCAGACCTGCTCAGTGTCCCCTCTGCCAGACCTCTGGAGGAGGCCAGTCCCCTGTGCAGGTGAGAAGTCCTTATCAGAACAAATCCTATGGAAGCATGTTCAGGGCTTAAAGGTCTAGATTTCCTAGACTTGTGCAGGCAAATTCCTAGGTTTAAAAGGGACCTGGAAACATAACCATATATATACATGGCGGGGGTGGGAGGCACTAAGGCTAAGTTTGGAGTCTTTTGCTTATTTGTTTGCTTCTTGTATCTCTACTAGAGAGGATGCTTCCTTAAAGACTTGGGTAAGTTCAGTTATTCTGGGATGCCCCTTTCCATGGACTAACACTGACTTGAGGGCATGACACATTTAGGAAGGCTACCAACTTCTAAGACCTTAGTGCATGTTGGGCATTATTGCAGAGCAGGGTTCAGTTCCAGCAGTTGTGTTGCCATGGAAACAGATGCTCCAACCCCAACTACTGGTTACATGTTGAAGGAACTCAAACTAACATATGAAGGCAACATTTATGAATAAAAAACGAGGCATCAGGTAAAAAAAAAACCTGGAAGGTAAAATAAGGAAATAGTTCAAATTCTGTTACCTTCTCTTCCATCTCACTTCCAGCTCCAGGTAGATTCAGGGGACTTGGAGAACTTGGCGTATCACTGGACTGGAACGAAAGAGGAGGTACTCAAGTCAAACATCAGAACAGGAAGCTCTGGGCAAATAATCAGACATCATCTGTGCCTGGGGAGGGCTGCCCCCTCCTTCATACAGGGGTGAGTCTGGCCCCCAAGAGCCGTGGTGGGGACTCTCCTGACGAAGACTAGCTGAGGCACAGAGGGGACGAGGTCTTCTTCCCAAGGTCAATGCCTTTCCCACCCTGGGCGGCCCCCACGTCAGGCCAGGGCTTCTCTCCACTGCCTGAGGGAAGCTGAGGGGCTGCTCACTGGCCACTTGACCCAGGGAGTGGGGCTGTGCCAACAAACATGCCTCCAGCCTCAGAGCTCTAGCCTGGGCTGGTGTCTTCCACCCCTTCACCTGCCAGAACTTTCCCCTCTATGCAAGGGGTGAGGGGAAACAAGGCCCTTGCAGTGCCACATACAAAGGGCTGGGCTGAGAAGGAAGTGGGGAGGGAGCAAAAACACAGGCAGGAAAGAGAAGAGAAGGCTAGGGTCTCACCCCAGGGTTCTAGGTGTGCCCTGGGCACACCCCAGTGGGGCGCCCCACCTTCCTGATAGCCCTCTCTACTGTTATACCTGCCAACTTGTGTCACCATTTTTACAAAAGATTTTATCTTCTTTTCTAGAGGCACTGCCAGCTGCCCCTGCCTGTCCACTCTCTGCACCACACTTAGAAAACATGAATCAGATCATGACATTGCCCTGCTAACATTCCTCAGAGGCATCCCGTGGCTGCAGAATACAATTCCTGTAGACTTCCCCTTTTCCCATGGTCTGCACATCTGGCTCGGCACCTGCTTTCCTCAGCACAGGCCACACTGCCCACTTCCTGGTCCACTTTCAGGATGAGCTTGGTCTGCTGGGACCTCTGTGCCGGCTCACTCTCCACCTAGACCATTCTTTCACTTGCTCTCCCAGGTCTGCTCTCAACCACACATCTAAAGACGCAAAGACGCAATCTCTCCCAGTTACTCACTTTCTTTTCTTTTTTTTGCAGTACCAGGAATCGAAGTCGGGACCTTGTGGTTGCAAGGCAGGCTGCAGAACCCCTGAGCTAAATTCCTGGCCCCTGGTTACTCACTTTCCAATTACCCTGTTTTATCTTCTGTGAAGCCAGTATTTTTCTGGATCTGAAGTGATTGTATTTATCTATTTGCTGGCCACTCATTAGGATGCAAATTACATGGAGGAGGCACTGGCTAATCTTGCTCATCTCCTAATGCCGACATCTGAGTCAAGGTCTGCTACACAGAGAGCCCCCATCCCTGAGGCCTCGGGGCCTGCTCTGAGGAGCTCACTGTGACTAAGAGTCACTGCTTCTGTCTTTGTGAAATCCCTGCATGGAGGTGGGGGATGCTGCTGTTGTCTGGCCCTGGAGAGGCTGGGGAGAGCATTTCTAGACAGACCAGGGGTGCTGGGTCTCATCCCTGCTTCAGCCACCAATCAAAGGGTGTTAATGGGTGTTAATGGATGTGGGTGCAAGGGCCATCAGGCCAGGGGCAGACAGAGGTGGGCACCAGGGTGGAGCATCCTTCTTCCCTTCCCTTCTGCATTTTCCTCTGCAGATCTCTTATCTTTCTTAATACTCTTATGATAGCCAGAATGCTTTCCTCTGGGCCATGCCCATTTTAATACCAACCACCCTAATGGTAGGCATCTCAATAGGAAGAACTGAGAAAATATATTTTTCCTCTTTGAAAATAACTGAAGCCCCTTCCGTCACCTACAGAATCCTGACTCTGGCCAATGGTAGGACTTCTGCTCCCTTTCCAGCAGGTGTGTAAGGGCTTCCCTTCTGGGAGGAAGAACTCTCAATTCAGGACATGCACAGTGTCTCCTCTAGTGTCAGCAGGCCAGATTTAGACAGCATGGTGTGAATACAACTTTCTTTCCACACTGAGGGGACTTCAAGGTAGCCCATTAGCTGTGTTCTGTCTCACTGAGCCCCTGCTGCTTTCTTTTTTCATTTTCCTTTAAATTAGCCTAGTTTGACAAGTAATTATTCAGTGCTACTAAGTGGGCACTAAGTAAGTTCTGGGGAGACACAGATGTGGAAGATGCAGTTTGCCTGCAGGGAAGGTAAGGGTTTGATTGGGGTTTTTTTTTGGTACCGGGGATTGAACTCGGGTCCTTGCGCTTGTGCAGCAGGTGGTGAAACCACTGAGCTAAATCCCTGGCCCAGGGAAGGTAGGGGGAGGACACAGTTACAGGACAGAGAAGCAGACACAGGCCCATGTGTAAGGAGTGCTAAAGACTCACAACAAAGGCACAGAGGAGGTGTCACAGCTCAGGGTGAGGCCAGGTAAGGCTTTGCGTAAGGGGCACAACCTGAGTGTTGAAGGGCATGTGGAAGGTACCGGGCAGAACAGGTGCAAAGGGCCTGTGCCCTCTTCCGCTCCCTTCTCCTTAATGGCCCCAGGAAGTGGCACCTGCCCAGGAAGTGCCCTCCAGCTCCGAGCCACACTCCAAGCCACTCATTAGAAAATCTCCTCCCACCTAGTTCCCCCACTGCAGACCACAGTGTCATCAGATGCCCCTATCTGCTGCCCAATATCCCACCCTGCTTCTAGGCAATCCCGCTTCCCTGCCGGAGACTTACTTTGTTCTCAGTGTCTGAGAGGATGATGTCCTGCTGGGTCACAGTTTCCATGGGACTGGTCAGGAACAGGTCCTCTTCTGAGCTAGTGTCTCCACTGCCTGCCTTCTTCATGGGAATGGCATTGGGTGGCCGCTGCCCAAACTTGATATTCTTGCCCAGCTGTCGCTGGAGAGAAACAAAAGAAAGACATTTCTGAAGCAGTGAAGCGATCTCCAAAACCACAGCCAGGTTTCCCAGCATATCTAGGAAGCACTGAGGCATAGGCTACGCACTGCTGCTTTCTAGACACACTGCCACACCAGGACTATGGTGCGTTCACTCCTGCAGTGTATTCACCTGTCTTCCGGCCTCTTCCCTTGCCCATCTTCAGACTATGAGCCTTTGCATCCAGCCACCTCCTGGGGAAAGGCCTAACTTTTTCTAGTGGGTAAAAGGATCATCTTTCTGAACCAAAAACTGGAACATGTATTTTTGATTTTTAATCTACAAATCTAAAGATATCTATTAAAAATATAAAGATTATATGCAGTATAGCTATATGCAATGTAGGAACCATTGGGGAAATCAAGATTCTTAGGACAGGTACTACACGGGAATCTTCCAGCCCCTTTTGACAACACTTCCTGTGAACATTTGTACTCTCACCACCTTCCCCATCAGCACCTGGCTTGCTATCCCACACCAGAGCCCCCTGCGCTGGTCCCAGTCATAAAGGTGCAGAAGGCCCTGAGGGCCTGCAAGTCCCTGATCGGTATCAAAATCACATAGGGATGCGAACAATCCATTCTTTGCCTCATTGTGTTGCGAGCACACACTGTGAAACAGGGGACCAGAGGAAACAGAGGCAGAGAAGGACCAAGGACTGGCTGATTACTGGTCATGGTAGCTAAAAGGATAGGGAGAAAGGACCAAGAAATGGGGCAGAACTAGGAAGATAAATACTATTTGGAATTAGGTAAGGGGCAGATTAGAAAAGGGCAAATGTCTCCAGATGTTGCCCAGTGTCCTCGGTAGGGGGCTGTCCTCACTGAGAACCACTGCTTTAGATGGATGCTTTACTTGGGCTTCATCGTCCTCATATGCCTCACAAAAGATATCTGATATTTGTCTTTAATCTGGGTAATGTGTAATCCCATGAAGCTGCACAGTACTCAGCAATCACTTATTCCAACCCTCTCACTTTGCAAAAAGCTCAGAAGTGCAGTGGAGACGTGACTGACCCACACTCATGGGGAGAATGAGTGACCTCAAAGGAACGTGGGCCCAGGTCTTCTAAAGTCACATTTGGGGTTATCTGCACTGCGCTTCACCTGCTCCCATAACCCTGACATTGTACTTCCTTCCTGCATGGCGGTTATATAAAGAGATGGTGCAGCATTTTCAATACTTGTCCAAAGTTCCCTGGTAGAAGAATCTTTTGGGGCAAATGCCCTGTCTCCCACCCTCTGCTGCCCAGCTTCCCCCAGCCTGGCCTGGTGCGCAGTGAGGCTGCAGACACATAGCAGAGGTGAGTGAGCCTCCCAGGACCCGAAGCATGCCAAGTCAGGAGCCCCAGGCAAGGATTTGAACCCTCCTGCTGTTATCTGGCCTGAGCAGGGCTCCCCGCCCCCTAGGGAAAGGTGCACATCCAAAGCCTGAGAGGAATTCAGCCAGGGAGGGCAGGGCAGCTTTAGCAGCCTGAGAGGGTTGAGGGGAGCAGAGGTTGAGAAAGGGCGTCTCCCAAAACAAGTCCAACAGGAAGCAGCAGTTAGCATCTACTCTACTCAGGTCAATGAGCAGGCACAGTTAGGACAGCCAAGGAGTTAGACAAGAGAACATGGAGTTACAAAGCCGCAGACCATCTTGCTCTGCTGTGGGGGAGGATGGGGGTGATGGGGAAGGAACCTGGGCCGAAGATGTGGGGAAGGCGTCCGTGTCCTTCCCAGCCAAGGGCCAGAAACTGTGCCATACCCCTGGCTACCAGGGAGACTTCCTGTCGGCAGGGTCTGCTGCTTGCCAGTGCTCCTGAGTGCCTGAGATGGGGTTTCTTTTTTAAATTAATACAACATAATTGTCCACATTCATGGAGTACAGTGTGATATTTCAGTACATGTATACAATGTGTAATGATCAAATTAGGATAGATAGTTGGTGTATCCATCACCTCAAATAGTCATCATTTTGTTGTGTAGGGAACACTCAAAATTCTCTTTTCTAACAATAAATTATTGTTAAGTATAGTAATTCTACCGTGCTATAGAATTACTTCTAGCCGTAATGTGCCCGTTGACAACTGAGATGAAGATACTTCTTGTATCCACAATGGAAAGGATAATTCTGTAATGCACTTCCTGGACCAACCCTCTTGTGCCATTAAATGAAGACTTTTGCTACCAATTAAAAAAAAAAGAATATGCTAATATTTTACTTCATCCGGGCCCTTTTTGGAATACTGATTTTGTCTATTCTGATTCTTAAGAGACAAAGAGAATGTGGCAAAATGTAATCACAGTCTAGACTGAAAGTCCAGACAGGGTGATTACTGTGGTCTCAAATGGAAACAAAAAATAGAAAAAAAAAACCAAAACCCAGGAACATTGCAGAACACGAGGCAGAGCTGACAGGTGGAAGGAGGGATGTTAAGAGGCAGAGAACTAGAGTGGCAGATGGAGAGGAAGGGTCTGAGGACAGAGGCAATAAGGGAGGAGGAGGATGAAGGCCCAGGGAGAGTTCAAGACCCCAGCTGCCCTTGGAAGAGCGGGGAGCTCTGGGGCACAGCAGGAGGAAAGAGAGGAGGGCGAGGGTGGGAGGGAATGAGAAGGGGTGTGTGTATGTTGAAGGGTTAATTTATCTCACAGATAAGTTTATCCTGGCCAAAAAACAAAATAAAACAAAGCACTGCTGTTGCCTTTCAGAATGAAAACACGTATCTTGGTACAGAAGCTGATTTGAAATTTCCCTAGAGACAAGGATGCAGGCTGGCGTTTGGAGAGGAGGAACTGAGAGGCAGGAGGGAAGTGGCAGCTATGGAGAGGAGCAGGCAAGGCTGTGTCCTCAGCTTCACAGCCTGCAGCTGTCAGGCATGGGTGGTGGGCTGGCGCCCAGTGATCCTGTGGTACCCACGGACAAGTCCCTCACACCCCACGCTCTTCCTGTAGCCCTTCTGCCAACGCCGCCCTTTGGTCACCTCGTGGGGGGGGGGCTGTTGTGACATTTTGTAAGATGTAATGACAACGAAAAGGTTACTGCTGAAACCTAGTTGATCTCAGGTGTCACATGAATTGAACATGTGGCTATTTTGTTAATTTGCCCACTAATGAGGCACTGTCACAACAGGAACTATTATACTGAAAACCAGACTGTTATGCTGAGTTGACCCTTAAGTCCAGAGAGATAAACTACCACTCTGTCCCACTTAAAAAAAAATAGCTATGAGCTCTGTCTGTATACACTGCAATTATAACCAGAGGAAGAGTGGTGTCTTGTGCCTATACTGCTAGTCTATTTTGCTAATGGCTATGAATGGAGTTACTGTTGAGACTGGAATGTGAGCTAAAAGAAGCTATATTTTATTCATCAAATTGGGCCGTTTTGTTGTAATATGGAATGCTGGAGAACGATGTTACAGGAATGCACATCCATATTTATGAGGCTTGTTCCTATGGTGTGGAAATGCCAAGCACATCACATTCTGCAGCTCTCTCCTTGCCAGTGTCTAGAATTTCCCAGATTTTTTCACAGACATTCTTCAAGCTATGTCTGTAAAAGCAAAGCAGAGGAAAAATAAAGTTGTTGTCTTCCTGAGCACTAGATACTCTAGTCATTAAAGTGAAGTTCACAAAAAGAAAAGGCATACCGATTTAAAGACATCTGCTCTGAGAAGCAGCTAAGAGCAGGTGCTTACTCTTTGTGTCTTTGACAGTTGCATTGTATGTCAAAATCCTTATATGCATGATTTTGGTATTATTAAGTACAATTCAGGTCAGTGGCAGACACCAGCTACTGACAATGGAGGTTTCTCTTTTATGTCCAGTATCTGTGGTACAAATAAATTAAATACTCCCTCAACCAAGGTATGGGAAAATTCTCAAAATCACCTGGGGCTCAGGTTGTGATATGCCTGAGTTTTATCATCAGTTGGTATACACCTCACAGCCTGGTCTAATCCCAGATAAATAGACTCCCTCCCTGAGCCGTGTTTCTGGGAAGCTGTAGGTAACGTCAAGGTCTCTGCCACCCAGACGCAATGACCTGTAGCACATCACAGCCACCCCGTGTAACGGCAGGTACAAACTGGCTTCATCCAGACTGCAGGTCTTAGGACTGGAGGGCCTCACAAGCACTCATCTCATGCCTCCCCTGCACTGTTCAGGGGGAAACTCAGTATCAGAGAGGTTAAATGACTTCACTGGGGGCCACAGTGCCACTTTTTATTTTACTGCATTCTCTCATTAATTCACATGCTATTCATCCCACTGGCCACGAAGTAACTGACTCCTTACATACAGAGTCATCCAAAAGCACACCATTGTGATGTTCTTTGCAATCACTGTTCTGTACATTAAAATTTGTTTTCAACGTGCACATTATTTTTATACTCAGCAAAATATGCACTTTTTGTTCTAAAAAGTTCAATCTTTTGCCACAGAAATTTTGGTAGGTGGCAGAGTCACATTATTCAGGAAAAGGCAGGCTGATGTGTGCTGTATTTAGTTATTCTGTACTCAGCAGAGACGCTGTCAGCTGCAGGTGCATTGTATGACAGTTCTATGTGTGATGACAACCTGTGGACACTAGAGGGAAACCTTTTCAAATGTATTAATACAGACGCCCTTCCCTTGGCTTCTGAGGGCTCCCAGGGCCCAGCAGTTTCCTAAGCTACAGAAAACTGTCATTTAAAAAAAAAAAAAAAATGACATTCCAGTAGAAATTTCATTTCAAAAGTATGTTTTAACAATGGTGGCTAATCAGATTCTAGGACATTTACTGTTAAATACGTGTTATCCAATTTTTCTCTTTCGAAAAATAAACTTACATATATACACAAAGACAGTTCCAGACATAAAAACATACATGCCTTTGACACAGCTGAACTCTCTCATTCCATGCTGAAGTCAATGGGGAGGGGGTGGTCTTTTGTGCTGCTTACTAAGCATCAACACCAGCATAACGTTGTCATGAAAAAAATGCAAAGCACTCATGCAAGTTAATAAAGTTACTACAATTTCTCCAACTTACCAGGAACATACTGCTTAGTCGACTGAAAAACAAAGCACAGTCTTTTGGGGGTGATACAGTTATATCTTAGGTCACTCCAAAATTACATTTGCTAAGATCATGGTCCCCATTTCCCTCCTTGAAAAGCAAAGTCTTTTACATTTTTAAAATATCATTATAGAGCTGAAAGGAAGCTTGGGAATTCACGCAGCAAAGGTAAAATTAGGCAAATTTTGTATGAGTAGATACTGTCAAATGATGATAGCACTCAAATTAAATAGTTATTCTGCTTTACCCACATTTTTCTTCTTGGGAAAACAGAATTGTCGCTTCAGGGAAGTTCGCCATTTTACATTTTATTAATTATGAGATCAGATTATGTAAAAACATATCTTAATGTTAGCAGAAATCACAAACACTCACATTTTTATCACATTCCTGTCTTTTTAATACTGCATGCACAATTACATATTTTTTTACAATTCTAAATCCACTTCTAGGGGTGACAGCAGCATTGTATGATGTTACACAAAAGATATCATTTAAGAAAATAGGCACTTGTCTAGTTTTAAAAGAAGTTCTAGATTATAAATACAGCTATTTCTTGGGTAGAATTCTGCATGTTATTCCTTTTAGAAAAGGGATATGGTAAGTGAGGGTTTGGGACCTATTGAGAATAATGTTTAAGGAATCAACAGACTGGAAGGAAGAGCTTTTCCCTACTTACCTCCACTCGCCCTCCCCTCTTCTCTAAACTCTAAGAAGTGATACTTATTTTTTCCCCAAAGTCTAAAAACTGTGTAAGAGCACGCATGGCCAGCTACAGCTGAGAGTACAACTTGGTGAGCGAGTGCTGGGACCTGAAGGCCCGGCTGGGCTGGATCTGAGGGATCTGTCCTTGGCACTGGTGGGTGCAGGCGTAAAGGTCTAGGCAAGTTTGGGTGTGGTTCCAGGGTGCTGACTGCTTTCCCATCTGCTATCTTCAGCTCAGTCTGCATGGAATATGTGACTAAATACAGGTCGCAAAGTACATAGCTCATGTTCAGTAGAAATAAGAACATTTCAGGAAAACAGACAATTTCTGAGTATAAAGTTTCATTGTCTAATGCTACCCAGGCCAGCTGTTCTTTTATTCTCATTCATTCACCATTGCTGACTTACAGGCAGATGGGAATCAGCATCCCAGAGCCCTTGTTTTAAAATCCGGGCAGCCACTAAGCACCCCGTCTCAGAGCAGCGCCTGATTAGGCATTGCTCTTGAGTGAGGGAATTCTTGTGTATGAAGCAGACCTATGTAGCCAGACCCTTGTGTCTTTACTTTCCTTGTTTTTCCTGGAATTCCTGGTATTTCAGTCACATTCAGTTAAGAATTATTTTATCAGGCCGGGGATTTAGCTCAGTGGTTCTGGTGCCTGCCTTGAAAGTACAAGGTCCAGAGTTCGATCCCCGATACAAAAAAAAAAAAAAAGGAATTATTTTATTGTATTTGCATTGCTCGGGAGTCACCTCTGAATTAACGTTAGTTAGGAAAACTGGCCATCCTACAGAGAGCACAGGAGGGAGTTTATGGTGTCTTCTGAGACACAGTGGCTGGGGAACCAGACCTATAAACGAAGCAGAAAATAGTGTCACCAGTCACCGTGCAATGGCAGGGACTTTACAGTGAACTTGTGCAGTGCAGACTCGGTGCTCGGTGGCAGCAGCCTTTGGCTACAGGGTGTGGGCTGACTCAGTAGTCAGGAGCTCTTTCCCCCATCTAAACCCTCAGCTTCACCTACACACTGTTCTCCTGCCCAGTCAGAGAGGAGGGGACAGATGGAGGGAACAGAAAAGGATGTGCCACATGGGTGGTCCAGGGGAATAACCCACAGGGGTTTCCAGAGAATGAGTCAGGTTCAGGAAAGCACAGCTTCTCAACAGAAGTGACCCCTGGCCCTCCCCATCCATCAGCCAAGGACAAACTGGAGACTTTTGAACTTCCTTCAACAGCAGGGCCCATCCTCTGGTTCTGACCTTCATCTCAGGCTGTCTTACCTGAAGAGTTTTGACTTTGCCCAGGATGTTGTCCTGTGACATTGCTTGAACTGTCTGCTCACTTTCTGCTCCCCCATCAGGGATAAAAATACTGTCATGGGAAAACGCCCGAGTTCCCATAGAATAGTTGAAGGACCTGGAATGCAAATCATGTGCTTCATTTTATTAGGATGATAAAATTTCTTTTGGCAATTCAATTTGCTGTTCTCCTGACTTGAGGGACTCCACCCACATTCCCTGTGTGGTTCAGAAAGCACTCCAGCACTCTGGTCCTTTCTGCTGCAGATCAGCCAAGGAGCCGGGCAGATGAATGGTCCCCAGGAGCAGGGAGCGTGGTTCTTACACCACCTGGGTTCAGAACCATTGCAGGACTGTTATTTGGAGGAGTCTTTCCCAACTGAGCACTATCAGGTTTTGCTCCAGTAAGTCTTGCCAATCAGCATTTACTGAGTAACAAGCAGACCTAGAAGTAAGAGGCAAGAACTTTGTTCATATTACAATAACACTGGAAGAAAGACACACATCTAACACAGAGACTTTGGAAGAGGACTAGAAATGCAGATAGGGACTACCAATGCTTGAGGATTTCAGAGCAAGGGGAGAAATTTGTGTTGAGGCCATTCTGACAAGGTTTATACATATCGGACATATTACAGGTGCTAGTACCCAACTGCTACGGTTTGTCATAGTTTGAGAGGGTCCCCCAAGGATTCCTATGGTGGAAGTGTGGTCCTCAATGTGGTGATGCTAAGAACTGGTAAAACCTTTAAGAGGTGGTACCTAAGTCATTCAGGGTGCTGCTCTCCGAAGGAATTCATGAAGTTCTCACGGTACTCAAGTTCTCCCAAGAGTTGTTATAGAAGAGCAAGCCTGCCCCCCACCATGCTCTGGCTTCCCTTCTTGCCATGTGAGCTCTACCTCTTGCACATGCCCTGCCATGATGGTATCCACCATGATGGGATGCAGCCAGGGAGCACTGGCAAGAGCTGGCACCATGCGATATGGACTTTGAGCCTCCAAAACTGAGTGAAATAAACTATATTCTTTATGTTTCCAGCCTCAGGTACTTGGTTATAGTAACCAAAACAGACTAATGCACCAACAATAGACAATTTTTAATTGAAGGTTAGACTCCAAGGAAGTCTGGACTTCTATCTGACATGAGTACAAGCAGTACGAATGCAGGAAGAGGAAGCCACAGAGGCAAACTTTTCATTACTTGGCATTCAAAACTAATTTATCCCTGGGAAAGAACACCCACGAAGGCTGCCAGCTCCTCACAAGGCAGGAGGACTGCTCACCATCCCAATGGCAGGGAGCACATTTCCACGATACCAGGCAGGACAGGAAACCTTCAGAGGGGTGCAAGGGTACCACTTCCTCCTCCTCATCCCCAGAAAGAGGCCCCAGTAGAAGGTTTTCTCAGACCACACACAGGAAAGAACAGATAGTCCTGGAGAAAGGTACTTCCGACGGGCCTCTGCACAGAATTACAGGACACAGTGTGCAGGGTCCTGGGCAGCTGTACTGTTATCTGCCCAAGTCTAGAACAACTTGGGGAGGACTGATTACCAAATTATGTGCTTTAATTTACCAAATGCAAGAAGAATGGTAAACAGAGCATTTGACGTTTAGAAACAAAAGACCTGGATGTGAGCTTCCTGGGCACGTGATCTTTGGCAATAGCAACAACACCCATCCTTTAGTTGGGTAAAAACTTTGTTTGAAGAGTTTTACTTTCATTATCTGATTTAATCCTCATCACCACCATCTTGTTAGAGATGAAACTTGGTATAAATAACCTTACCTAAATCCATTCAAGTTGAAGAGGCAGAATGAGGAATCAAACTCAGACCTCTTGAATACAGCCTTGTGCCAGCCAGGTGTCATGTCTTAAAGTATGGAAAACCTTGAATACCACCAGCCAGGGGGATGGTATACAGGAGAGGAAGGCAGGGTGCAAATGCCACATGCATTGGCATGGTTGAAGATACTAAATAGCTAGAAGAATGTGTAAGCCTTTAGCTAAATAAAACAGGATACTTGATATACAGAATACGCAAGGCTTATGTGGTAGCACTGTTATTAAACCTATTTTATAGATGAGAAACTAAGGCCTGAGGACAGTAACTTGTCAAGGGACTGTCTATATGTGAATCTGTCCTGGGTCTCTGTTGTCTTGGTCTACTTGTCTGTTTTGACAGCAATTACCTCATACTGTCTTAACTCCTATAGCTTTTAAGTGAGTACTGGTATCTATGCTTTAAGTTTTTCAGCATTGTTTTTTTTTTTTTCCCTCAAGGTGGCTATCCTGTCTCTTTGCATTTCTAAATAAATTTACACACACACGCGTGCGCACACATACCCCACATACTTCCATACTCTGGAGATTACTTTTGTGATGCTATTAGATCACCACAAAATGGACTGATTTGGACTAACATAACCATACAATATTGAATATTTTAATCCACAAACATGGGATATCTCTGTGTATTTAGATCACCTTTACTTTCTCTCAATAATATTTTGGTAGCTTTCTGTATACTGGTCTTGTACATATTTTAATAGATTTATTCATAGGCATTTGGTAGTTTTGAATTTTTGTAAATAAAATAGGTTAAAATTTTTATTTTCTAACTTTTACTGGTGGAATATGGTAGTCTTATAAACTGAAATGTTGCAGGGTTAATTTACTAGCTATAATCATGACTGCTAATTCTTTTGGAGTTTCTATGTATATAGTCAAGTTGTCTGCAGCAAAAGACCATTTTATTTCTTCCTTTTCAATACTGTATCTTTTTTTTTTGTTTCTTTCCTCTTTTTTTTCATGTGGAATTAGCTAGACTCTTCATTCAAAATTGAACAGAAGTGGTGATGGTGGACAATGTAATGTGCCCAAACTCAAGGAGAAAACATACAATATTTCACGATTGAATATAATGTTAACTATAGAATTTTGTAGATCTGCTTGAATCACTGCTTCTCTGAAAAGACACATGACCTGTTTTTATTTCTTGAGAGTTTTGCTAAGTCACTAAAGTATCCAGGCTGGGCCTGAAGTTGTGATCCTCCTGCCTCAGCCTCCCATAGTTAGTACCAATCACACCTGGTTGGCTACCAATCTTTCTAAGGCTCAGACCACTGCAGCTTTGTCCCCACTTCTAAGGTATATGGAGCACCCGGTTATTTCCTAGGGTCCCTCTTCTTAGCCAGTCTTGAGCCTCATTTTTTGTTTTCCCAGCTCCACAGACCACCAAAACTCTGTCCTGTTTTTCAGTCTCTTTCCCTGTGCAGCTTTAGCAACAAATACCTCACATGGAAAACTGTTGCCTAGATTTGGCTTCATGCATCTGGGCTTCTTGTTTCTTGGGGATCTTAATCCCTCAAGTTCTGGCTACCAGGGCAGCCTCAGCCTCCAACTGTTGTATTCCCAGCCCCATGAGACTGCCTCTTTTTTCTGCTGTCAGCCATCCTCAGGCTTTCTGACCTCTTGCCCTGTACCCAAAGTCAACAGATGATGACAGGAGAAAAACACTGCGGAAGGTTCCGCTTAGCTCAGTGGCTTCCCTTCTCTCCCGCGTGCTGCTGCTCCAGCCTGGTGCCTCAGCAGATGTGACGCCTTTGTTTTAATATTCTATCTGTATTTCTAGTTCTTTTTTTTTTTGGTACCAGGGATTGAACTCGGATCCTTGCACTTACAAGGCAGGCGGCAGAACCACTGAGCTATATCTCTGGCCCCCTGTATTTCCAGTTCTTCTTGGTGGCAATACTGACATGGCTAGAAGTGGAGGTAATTAAATACATTTTTGATATTTATTAATTTCTACCACACGACAATCATGTCCAAATCTTGTTGACACAACCACTGCTCTAAAGAAGATTGCTGTTCACAGTGACCAAAAATATTTGCACCTTTTTCTTGTATTTAGTTTTTGCTTCATTTTAAGGCACTGAGAAGAAACAGCAGAGAAAGAGTGGCAGCTTAGTAGTTATATGAATGAACACTCGATCGGACATAATTCCATCTGCATAGTGCAAATTAACATTGAAGCTTTGGCAATCTGTGTAATATTAAATCTTTAGTAATCATGGTTACCAGTTCCAGCTCCAAACAACCCAGCAATTGTAGATCATTTTCTTTTCTCTGAAGGGAAAGCTGAGATGGAGTGGGTACAAACATTGCCCAAAGTTCCAGACTTTGAGGCTGGGTTGCAATTGAAAGGAAATGGCCCCCTTGTAGCAATCTCAGGTTGAAACTGTGCTCTAAGGGACAAAGTTGGGGGATGGAATCATTGTCCTTCACCAGCTGGGAACTACAATTACAGGACTGGGAGGTGGGGCCAATTTACCATAAACTGTACCTCAGTGGAATTCATCTGGACCCCTTTATTCCTGACATTTAAAGTTCTCTCAGGACTGATGGTGAAGCTGGACCCACTCCTCCCAGCTTCCTTTTGTGATATGTGAAGAAGCCTGAGGCAAGAGCCTCCCAGCCTCCTGGCTGGCTACAACCTTCCCTTGGACTCTCCTGCTCCAATACAGGACAAGGACTCACAGTATGAGACCTTCCTGTTGGAGGTGGAGGACCCAGAGCAGCCGCTGCATCAGGGAAGAGACATATGAAGCCCTCTGACACCCCAGATGCTGCGTCTCCACCTGCAGAACTATCGTGTGGTCATGGTCATTTCCCTGTCGGTGTAATTTTAAGTCCAATGCAAAGAGGGGTCAGCAGAAGGACTTGGCTTCCAAACCCCTATGCAGAAGCTTCCAGGGAGCCTGAGCACAGCTTTCAGTCTCACCCCATATTCTTCCCTTGACCTCCTCACTATCTTTCCAACATTGGTAATGGTAAGCGTACTCTTCTGGCTTTATAATCGTTTTCCCTTTATTTTTAACTGGCAGCCACATAATATTCCTATTTTAAGAGCAAGCACCTTCATCACTGTCTTTTGCTTCCAGCTCATAGCAGACCCTGCCATTTGGCCATCCCACTCCCCAGCAAACTCAGCGCTAATAAAACGAAATTCACAAACCTCGCATCTTTCCTATTTCTTTGTGACTGTCATTCCCCAGTTCTGTGCTATATTTTTCTCTACGTGAGGTCAGATCCAGGTTAGGGAGAAGATACAGTGC